TTCATCATCACTAGCCATCAGGGAGATTCAAATTAAAACCACATTGAGATACCACCTTACACCAGTTAGAATGGCCAAAATTAGCAAGACAGGAAACAACGTGTGTTGGAGAGGATGTGGAGAAAGGGGAACCTTCTTACACTGTTGGTGGGAATGCAAGTTGGTGCAGCCACTTTGGAGAACAGTGTGGAGATTCCTTAAGAAATTAAAAATAGAGCTTCCCTATGACCCTGCAATTGCACTACTGGGTATTTACCCCAAAGATACAGATGTAGTGAAAAGAAGGGCCATCTGTACCCCAATGTTGATAGCAGCAATGGCCACGGTCATCAAACTGTGGAAAGAACCAAGATGCCCTTCAATGGACGAGTGGATAAGGAAGATGTGGTCCATATACACTATGGAGTATTATGCCTCCATCAGAAAGGATGAATACCCAACTTTTATAGCAACATGGACGGGACTGGAAGAGATTATGCTGAGTGAAATAAGTCAAGCAGAGAGAGTCAATTATCATATGATTTCATTTATTTGTGGAGCATAAGAAATAACACAGAGGACCTGGGGAGATGGAGAGGAGAAGGGAGTTGAGGGAAATTGGAGGGAGAGATGAACCATGAGAGACTATGGACTCTGAAAAACAATCTGAGGGTTTTGAAGGAGTGGGGGATGGGAGGTTGGGGAAGCCTGGTGGTGGGTATTATGGAGGGCACATATTGCATGGAGCACTGGGTCTGGTGCATAAACAACGAATTCTGTTACACTGAAAAGAAATTAAATTTTTTTTAAAAATGGAAAAAAAAAAAAGGTGTGAGGCGGGGTGGTGAGGGTGCCTGCTTTAATGTTTAAAAATGAGCAATACATCATCTTTTCAAAGAATAAAGCCATTATTCTACTTTAATAACTGCATAATATTTCTCAGATCCCTGTATATTATTTTGTTCTCATTTCCTAGATAAGAGAAATTAGATACCCAAAGGTGAAACGACTTGATGGAAGAGTGACCTAATTCAGGATGATATGTTAATAAATATGTGATATACCCACTAGTTTCCATCATTATCATATCTACTGATTTGGCTCCATACGAGGATAAACTTGTAATAATTATATATGCCTGACAGTAGAATGAATTGCCACATACAGTATAAATCCCGAAGAGTACTCAACATAAGGCTGATGGAACCAACCAACCCTTCCAGAAGGTTGCCACACCCCAAGCACAAGTTAGGCTTAATGACGTTTGAGGGTGCTTCCAATTCTGAAAATGACTTTATAATGTGAAGTCATACAACAAAGTCACGAATCTCTCTCATGCTATAAAAATAATAGTATCAGTGCCATGCTCACATTTAGAAATCTACGCTTTAAAATGTTATCCTGAAAACATCATACTTCCTTTCCGCCATAACAACCACTGAAATAGGACAAGTGTCAGTTCCACTATGCAGTTGAGAAAATTAAAATTCAGAAAAGTCGTCACTGGTCCACGATCATCCAGACAGATCATTATAGTGTCACGACTTGTTTTTCTGGGTTTTTCCGTTTGTTTGTTTGTTCTAGTCCATGTTTACTGTCTAAGCAACTACTCTACATAAACATATAGTAGCCCAGCACTGACCACGTTTTACTTACATGACCCTGGGGTTTTCCGAGCCACTCTGCCTACTTTGTTGAAAATGGAAGAAAGGCTAGGTTGCCGTGATTCTTTCTATCCTGTGTTGAAGAAAGAGCCTTGGAACTTCATGGAAAAGAACTTTAAAGCAGCCACACTATTTATGCCCATCACTATGCTATAAACTCTTTTTTGGTAGGAAATTAAAGATTCCTCAGCAAAGCTTGCTATTGTCCTCGTGGTTTCCAAATACAAGAAGTAAAAGTCATCCACTGCTGGTGCTGGACGGTGTAAGCAGCTGTTCATCAGAGGTAGTCACAGAGCAGAAGTCTGAATGTGAACTCTGGTGAGGGGGGCTCATGTATATGCGTGCGCATGTTTTGGACACCTGCTCTAAACCAGCAGCTGAGAAGCACTCGGTAAACATACCCTGGAGCGGCTGGAAGACAGATGGGGCAAAGCCAGGTTTGTGGAGCCCGGTCCCTGAACAAGCCACCTCATTCATAGGGACAGCAACTGGTGAAATACATTCGAGAGCATGGATGCCATATTTCCTGCCAATATTTGGGAACAGAAAATGATGGAAGATGGGATCTTTTCTGAATTTCCTTGATGTCTTCCAAAGGCAGATCGTAAGGGGACAAACTCAAGTGCAATGAAAGTGAATAAAAGAACTTAACGCTTGAGTAAGGGAAAGGACTTAATGCAAATATAGCTCTTTTCAAAGAAGATAAAGAATGCTCCTGGAAGTGAGACTCTTGGTGTGGCCACAAAAGGAATTCTGCAAATCCTATTTAGACCGTTTAAATAAGCAGAAAAGGCACAGCATGATATTCTGTGGCTCTTGGCCAGATTTTATCACTAGTCACAAACTGGAAACATACTAAATAGTTTTAAAAGCGATATTCAAATGTCTTTTCAATTACGTGGACAGTGGCAATGTTGCTTGCACTGCTGACATTCTAAAACTTCATCTTAAAAGTGACTTTGTCAATACACTTAATATATAGAAAAGATAAATTTTCAAGCTCTGCAATTTTCTCCCTGAATCAGACACTGTTAAAACTAACAGCATCCAGGGTGCCTGGGTGGCTCAGCGGGTTAAGCCTTTGCCTTCAGCTCAGGTCATGGTCTCAGGGTCCTGGGATCAAGCCCCACGTCTGGCTCTCTGCTTGGCGGGGAGCCTACTGCCTCCTCTCTCTCTGCCTGCCTCTCTGCCTACTTGTGATCTCTCTCTGTGTCAAATAAATAAATAAAATTTTTCAAAAAATCATTTAAAAACTAACAGCACCTGATTCAAGCAGGCTTAAAAAGAAGCACCAACGTATTTTCTGTTCTGAGGCATCTGTAACTGAAAATACAGACCAAAAAACGAAAAACAACAATAAGAAAAAAAAAATAATTCTCTGGAACAAACACATTAAGTGAAATACTCACTGCTCCTTCCTCCATACAGACTTCTGAATAAGACTTTTATAAGCTAGGAGGCACAATCATTTAGAATGAATCACATATATTATAGTCAATCAAGATAATATTTTCAGAGTTTTTCCTCAGGGTAAGTAGTAACACAATGATTCTCTTTGCCATCATCTTCAGTTGTCATAAAATTAGTTACAGAACAATGACATTGTCAAAATAAATAAACTCACAAAGTTAATACTGATCTACTCAAACAAAAAAATTTAATAACAATTGAATGAAAACATAAAGTAATACTATACCAACATCATATATAAGGGATAAACATAATTTGCATGATAAGGAGTGTAAGTTTCCATATTTACTTAGGGACAAAGCAGGAAAATTCAAATTTATTACCTTTGCCTTAAGGAGTCCATAATACTGTTTAACTTTACTTTATGAATGAAATTATCAGTGGTGTGCTGGTGCTAGCTCATCCCCAGCTCAAGAGTGCCAGTTGTTAAATATTAAAGATCCCTGTAAGCTAGTCGTTAAATCACTGAAACCAATCATAATGAGAGTATTTACACCATGGGCAATGACGAGCAATACAGACCGCACCCCCCTACCCCCCCAACCCAAAGCCAGTTTAATAGCACTCACTGATCCAAATAAAGATACACAGTATAGGGGCTCAGTTGGTCAAGCATTAGCCTTCGGCTCAGGTCATGATCCCAGGGTCCTAAGTTTGAATCCTGCATTGGGCTCCCTGCTCAACGAGGAACCTGCTTCACCCTCTGCCCCTCACCAAGCTCATGAACACGAGCTTTCTCACTCTTTCACTTTCACATGCTTTCTTTCTTTCTTTCTCAAATAAATAAAATCTTAAAAAAAAAATACACAGCACAATTAATTTTCACAAAGTAAATTCTCCCATGTAGGCAATGCTGGGGTCAAGAAAAATAATATTACCATATACCCACAAGTCTCCCTTGTATCATGTGTGAATCCATGCGCCCTCTAGAGGTCTGAAAATCTTCCAGATACAAATACTAGAAAGGAGTAATTTTAGCAATGATGAGGGAAGAAGGCAATGTTAAATGAAAGATATAACCTGGAAAATTATCTGGAAGCAACTGTGAAGGTAGGCTGGCAGAAAAAGACACAGCATGATGTACATCTACTTGACAGTAGCAGGAGCAACGCAGGAAGGAAAATACGAAATGGCAGGTACTGCGCAGCTCCCCAAGTGTTATGAGGCACATGTCTACGAAACAGACCTGTTAAGTGTGAAAATCTTAGGAAAGAGATAGTTTAACATTCTGTAATTCTCTTTCTTTTGCCTATGATTTTTATGTCATAACCAGTAGAGAGTAGAAGAAACGTTCAAGTAACTACCACACATAAAGTGACAGCCAGGATTTGATTACTATTGAAATTCACAAGACTTTTTCCCCCCTCCAATTTACAGTAGTATCTGTCTGTGAAAAACCAAAGTGAAAAGCCCTTCAAAGTCATCCCACTCCTCTGAGGAAAGCTGACTCAGCTGGCACAAAGAAGACAGCATCTGACAGCAATCCTGTGCCATGTGGCGCTGGTATCAGGATTACGCTTGTAGGAACTAACATATATTTACACAAAAGCTGGCTTCTTTTGTTTTTCTTTGTCCCAGGGATCAGTTGTATCCAGTGGTCTTCCGGTTCTCAATATTCATCAATAAGCTGATTCCTTAATTCCAGCCTAAGTTCTATGAAACTGGTAACAGCTAGACTTACACAAAAAAGGGTTTTTTTTCTTAGAAATTTCTTCATATTTAAGGGTTTAAAATTTTTAAATTACACTTTACAGATAGATGTATGTATCGAAGTATTGACTTCTGTCCCATACCCAGACACAGAAGTGTTCTAATGAGAATAATGGCCCCAAAATCATGTTCAACCTAAGACTTTCAATGCAGTGATATAAAATTTGACTAACCAACCTTTATTGTTTTCCTCTTCATATGGATATTCATTCATCCATTTGTCTCTAGAGTCACATTGATCCTGCAAGAAACACACACAAAAACAGATAATGAGGAAAAGTTCCATATGTTGATGACATTCTTCAACTGGGGAGTGAACAATTTCATTCTGCAATTCTTTAGGCTCTTCATTGGTAGAATGAGATAAAGCAACAGTCGCAGAATATTTTTTTCATTGGTTGTTTGTTTTTTGCTTGCTCTTTACCAGCCACTAAAGGGCGAAGTGGAGAAATGAGGGAATAAAAGTACGATCTCCAACTAGGACAGCTCCTGAGCACAAGATAATGAGGATCTGGATAAAGAGAGTCGAGGGAGGGAAGAAAAGGAAGGGGAGGTACCAGAGAGACAAAGGGAAGGAGAAATTGGTTTAAAAGTAAATTTAATATATGAAAGTCACAAATATTTTTACTGGAGCACTTGGCTCCCTTATTCTTAGCAACCAAGGAATTTTTAAGTAATGCTGTTTTCCAGAGGAAATGATTTTTTTCCCTCTTTACAGCTGATACATATGCAGCATAATTAATATGAATACTTTTTGGTGACTTCATGTTGATCAATACCCAAGCAACTTTTTATTTTTTTTAAAGATTTATTTATTTGCAAGAGAAAGAGAGAGAGAGAGATACAAGGGGGAGGAGAAGAGGGAGAGAATTCCCAAGCAGACTCCTTGCTGGGCGCAGAGCCCACCACCTAGGACTCAACCCCACAACCTTGAGATCATGACCGGAACCTAAATAAACCAAGAGTCCAGTCAAATGCTTAACTGACTGGGCCACCCAGGTACCCCAAAAAATTAATCTCAAAAGCTTCCATATCCCCAGGACCGTTTGGATCTCACTAAATATAATTAAATATTCCTGGATTAGAGAGTTCTGATTACAATAAAGCATTTGCCTCACGTGGAAGTATCTTGAAAGTCCTCCTGTTTATTTTCATTCAGCACATTATGTAACTTGCTTCAGAATTCCCTTTTCATGAGGCAAATTTTCTTTGGCATTCAGTTAAGCCAGCTTAGTAGGCATAATTGATTTTGCGTTTTCATTTGGAATTACACTCAAGAGGGACAGGCCTTGGCGTTCTTAGCAGCACCCACTCTGCTGGGGGCTCACCCCTGTAGCACGGCACAGATTTCCTCTGCGTGGGTCTCCAGACATTTGAACAGAAAAAGGGTTCACTCGCTCATAGGGCCTTAAATGAAACATAGCACGATTCACAAGTTCAATGGGCTTGGTCTGTAAGGCAGACTGGCTTTTAATTTTATTCCAGTTTTAAGTTAAATCAATCAATTAACCAATTTCTCCTTCTCTCTCTCTCTCTCTTCCCCTTTGTCCCCTCCCTCCTTCCTCTCCACTTCTCTCTCTATACATATGTAATATTTACATATAAAAAAAGCTTATATCTCAAAATGTATATACTACAGTTTTTACTACTAGAAATGCTGCTGAAAAGCAACATAATGTAAATGTAACATTTTAATAATATTTTTTAAAGATTTTATTTATTTATTTGGCAGAGAGAGACAAAGCGATAGAGAGAACACAAGCAGGAGGAGTGGGAGAGGGAGAAGCAGGCTCCAGCCAAACAGGGAGCCCCATGTGGGGCTCAATCCCAGGACCCTGGGATCATGACCTAAGTCGAAGGCAGACACTTAACGACTGAGCCACCCAGGCGCCCCAATAGTATCTTAATATTACAATGGCAAACTAGAAAAATTCTCTGGAAATTCAGAGTATAATTCTTCTATTTTACATTATGAAACCATAATATGGTTTCCCTTGAAAGAATTAAAAAGTCATCTAAAATACCATGTTCTTATCAAACACGTCCTGTCCTTTCTAGTCTTCAAAATATATCTAAATTGATCAGTTCCAACTTAGCAGAATGTACTAGGTACGTCAAAAACTGGCTTCAATCTTACATTCCAATTTTGTAGGTTTTTTTCCCCCACACTTTGATATATCTTGGCCATTTTTCACATGATATTCAACTTCCTGATGCTTAATCCAAAATTTGTAACACTCCACTGCAGAGATATATTTACTCCCTAATTTTTGTCTAATAATTTACGATTTTGTGCTACTGCTGATAACATTTAAATATCCTTCTATGTCAATCTTATAGCCACCGGGGCCTTTGCTAGCTGGGGTGATGACATTGTGCCCCCGGAAGGGACACCCTCTCTGGGCAGACAGGGGCAGACACTAATCAGGAGGGAGGGCCCAATGAGCAGAGTCCAGGGCAGATCTTCACCACCATTCACCCCCTGAACCGGGCACCCTCGTCTACTATACTTAGCTGCTCTAAATCTGCACCTTTAATTACTGCCTTAGAATATAGTTATAGAAGTGCAATTACCACATCAAAATAATAGGAACTATTTTTCCTGGTTTTTCAAAATGTCTTTTTAAACAGACTCTACCAACTTATGCTCCCCAGAGAAACAGAAGTCCGTGCTACCATAGTGCCACACCCATCTTTATTTCCGGAAACAGAGCACATTACCTCACACATTTTAGGGGGATCAATAAATGTTGTCAAATGAGTAAATAAAGGTAGTAATGACAAACGGAAGAAAAACAAAATAAACTCGTGTTTCTATCAATCATGCGGATTCTTCCTATCCAAGTAACTAGGGCCTCCGTTATCTAATTTGTATTTTTAGATAAAATTAATCTGCTGACTAAAACATTAAATAATGTGAACTATACCCAACCTAATATCCCACATTTTGACAGCATTTGGGGATTTACAAAGTAGCCTAGTGATATAATTTGTACTGAAAGCAGTTCTGGAACTTGAGTACATGAACTATTTTAAGATCGATTTGACAATGATGATTAATTTCGTGCCCAAGGTAACCAGTTAGATAATGTCAGGGTCCTTCTAGAACTCCTTAGCTCCACATCTGAGCATGGATTTTTGGTTTATCTTTGCAACCACCTACGACTTCAATGTATACCTCTGTATCTTTCAAACCTGAGAGCCTGATATAATGCTCACTTTTGTTTTCCGTTTAATTCACACTCCTCAAAGAGTGCTCAAGCTCATCTCCTGACCAGCAGCTCCCCTTGAGCACCCCAATACTATAAGTAGCACATGTAACAGCAAATAAAGTCACAGTTTAGAGCTGAGAAGACCAATCCCTGGGCTCACCGCTGTCTCCCGCTGGCCATTTGACCTGAAACAATTCATCCAACTGGCGTCCCCATTTCCTTCTCCACAGAAGCAGGGGTAACAGTAACACCTGTTTGTCTACCACCTACCCCAACTAGGGTCATGTCTATGCAGCAATGTGTCCTATAATTCACATAGGAATTCTCACTCCTTAATCAGTGGCCCAGATTAAGCCAGAAAATAACAGGACTTCCCAAAACTGAGACCACAAAATAGACTAATGTCAACTTTATTCATGCTAAGGGGCCTTTGCGTTGCTCCCCAAATCCCCATCAAAATCAAGCCATGATGTAAAATAGGAAAATGGCACCTTTCCAGCAACAGTTAATATCTCATCAATTTCCTAATTAAAATATTACTTAAGTCTGCCAAGTAGGTTTGTAAGATTATCCCGTAAATCTTCTCACAGCACAGAAGTTTTAAAGGCCACTGTCCTCATCAAAAATCCATCACACATGTTTTGGTGCTTACTTTCCTGGCTCCAAAAATGATTCTCAATTATCAGGTAAAGAAAAAGCAAAGGGTTGGTCCCTTATTTCAACACAAAGTAAATATGAGAAATAAGAAAAGGCCTGATATATTACATTTTGGAAAGAAGTTTAGACTTACTTTTAAACAAAAATAATTGCTGTCTAGAACTGTTAGTAAATACTCCTGTTTTAATGGTGAGTCTGGAGAAATTGTAGCAATAGGGAATCGTCTTCTCAATTCTGTTCCTTTTGAACTCCTTTCCTCCCCCAAAATTTCCTAAAAGGAATTCTAAGCGCCCTTTGTAATTCAAAGACAGTTAAGTATCCTGGACAATAGAACTGACCTTGGTCAGAACGGACGTGGATACTACCCAGCTGAATGAAGAAGGAGTTACACTTTAGGGTACGGGCACTATCTCATCACCTGTAGTAACAGGTTGCTAGCTCTTCATCACACCTGAAATTATCTGTTATGCTCTCCATCTCTAAAGGTGGGTGTTTAATACATTCTGCATACTTCAAGAACCGTAAGTACACTTGTTGCCAGTTCCTCTGAAAATCCTTTTATGTATCTTTAAACAGAGATAGCGAGACACCTTTTAAAGGTGCTTATAGACATCTGACTACTCAGGGTATTCTACTTTCTGCCCAAAGGTTATTTAGTTGCTCTGTTTCAAGTAAATTGAATTCTGGTAATGGTACAGCAATCCCATTTGGAATTCCGTCTTCTAGGTTCAGTTTCACAAATCACTACTTCATTAGCTGTGATCTTGTATTTTCAGGGGCTGATTAAAAAAAAAAAAAAGTCAGGGCGCCTGGGTGGCTCAGTGGGTTAAGCCGATGCCTTCGGCTCAGGTCATGATCTCGGGGTCCTGGGATCGAGTCCCGCATCGGGCTCTCTACTCAGCAGGGAGCCTGCTTCCCTTCCCCTCTCTCTGCCTGCCTCTCTGCCTACTTGTGCTCTCTCTGTCAAATAAATAAATAAAATCTTTAAAAGAAATAAATAAATTTAAAAAAATTTAAAAAAAAAAGTCAGGTAACAGAGGTTTATATACATATTCACAAAACTTTTCAAGCCAATTAGGGACTCCAACAAGCAGGCTTTGTGAATTTAAGTCGATGACAGTATGTAAAAGACCCATCTTGGCCTTGCTGTGCCTCAAGGTTTTTGATATATACGTTGCCTTCCTTCATTTAAAGTTATTTCTGTTTTACCTGTCGCAGTGAGTTATCTTGGGAACTAAAAATATTTGAAGGTTAATCTAAATATTTCTGGAGATAAATGCATATCTAAGTGCTACGTTTTCACAGCTATTTTGACTTAAAAATGAAAAGAGACGCTGAAGACACAAAGCAGTGAGCTTGTTGCTAGGTGACA